CCTTATCTACTACACCACCAGAGCTCCTTAAATAGTAAAGTAGACACTTTATTTATATAAAGCTACATCATCTATTATCTTTAATTATCCTCATTGCCTGGCTACGATTGCCAACCACTTGGAAAGGAATCAAAACTGGAGATATTGGATAGAGTGAGAGGAAAAATGTGGAACACAATTCAAACACAAAAATTACCAGAATCACCAGTCAGATAGAGACTGGTGGAACACCAAAGACTATGGCCTAAAAATGGACTCCCTCCCATGGATTGGCTCTCAACTCAACAGTAGAAAGACCTACATGCAGAACACCTACCCTAGGGTGATATACCTACCTACTCTAGGAAGATGCACCCTTTAGAGCAATCAGCCATGAGACACCAGAGGGGCAGCATTCACACAGAGGGGAAAGCTGGATGGACAGGGAAGCGTAGTTAAGAAGGGCACAGGGAGGGGGCAGTCACAGGGAGGGGAGGGAGGAGGTATTTTTATGGTTGGGGATGGTAATTGGACGTGAAATCAAATGTGCATAAACTGTTGAATGTAAAACAAATTTGCTTTGTAAATTCGCACCCAAAGCACAATGAAATTAAATAAATAAATAAAGTAGTGAACTAAGACTTAGAGAAGTAACTTGCCCCAAAGATCACCTAGTAAGTTCTTTAACCATTAAAGTTCTTACTTTTGAGTCAAATTTGTGTAAGAGAATGGTATTATGTAAATAGCTAGGGTACAAACAAAAAGTTTGAAGATAAAGATATTAGTATGTGCCATAGAACAAAGGTAATGAAGCAAGTAGCAAATCATCCAAGACTTCAACTAGTTAGATCTCAGCTGCCTTGGTCCTCTGACAGAGGAATCATCTTTTGCTCTCTAGATGTGCTCAGCTGCTTCTACTTGGTTTACAAGGTGCTGAGGAATTTGTCATGGCAGCTTCTAGGGTTCAGGAGAACATCTGCCCTATAATCAGCATCCCCTTTTGCCTTACAGTTGATCAACAAGGAGGAGGAGCTGTTGGAAAAGGAGAAGAGTACCTTCCCCCTTCTGCAGACCATGATGATCAACAAAGTGCCTTACGAGCAGCTGTGGGCGACGACCTATGAGTTCAGCACCAAATCAGAGGAGTGGATGAATGGTACACTGTGATCTCACCAGGGCAGAATGGGGGCCCTTGCTAGGCAGTTCTGAAATAAGATTTGGACTCAGATTCTGGCTGGACTTTTCTGGATTCTGACACTCTGGATTAAGGCAGCCCCAGTCAAAATTTTCTGATGTGATAATGATGAAAAACAAAACAAAACAAAACTCAATCCCATCGAGTTGATGTGACTCATAGCGACCCCTCCTTGGGTTTCCAAGGCAGTGTCTCTATGGAAGTAGATTGCCCAGTCTTCTTTCTGAGGAGTGGCTAGTGGGTTTGAACCTCCAGCCTTTTGGTTAGTAGTGGAAATGCCTTAGGCCCTGTGCCATAATGATGCACAGTAAGGGGTACATACCCAGACATACTGTCAAGATAAAATAGAACAGCCACCTAGAGAACCGTGAATTAGACAGTGACCCTGAGAGACAGATGGTGGAAGGACAAGGTAACAGTGCCACTATTGTACTGCTTCAGGAAAGGCCCATAAATATCTGTAAATTACCTCCTCTCCTGTAGGCTCTGGAGCTAGAAGGTATTAAGGAGGTAGAATCAGTGAGACTTACTGATTGATTTGATGTGGGTAGGGAGCTCTAAGGAAGAGGGAAGAACCTAGGGAGATTTCCAGATAGTTGGCTCAGGCAGTTCAGTGGATATTGCTGTCACTCACATAAGAACAAAATAAGTGACAGTTTTGTTAGGAAAAAGCAGTCAACTTGAGTACACTGATTTTGAGGAGTCTGTACCCATCCAAATGGGAATATGAGTTAGTAGTTGAGTGTATCATTCTGGAGTTAGGAGATGGGTTTTGGGGGGGGACATTTATATATCCGGGAATAATTGTTGGGTTTACTGTTGTTAGTTGCTGTCAAGTCAGTTTCGACTCAGGGTGACCCCATATGTGCGGAGTAGAATGGCTCCATAGGGTTTTCAAGGCTGTGAATTTTTGAAGCAGATGGCCAGGCCTGTCTTTTAAGATGCCTGTGGATGTGTTCAAACCACCAACCTTTCAGTTAGTAGTCCAATGATTAACCATTTAGATGACAATAAAGTCATGAATGACATTGCCTGGGGAGAGTTTGTAAGAGGAGAGGACAAAATCAGAAATCCTTAGGTTTGAGCCTTTAGCTTATTTATAATGAATTTCCATGTAATTAGCTTTGGTATAGTGAACACAACTGTAATGAACATCTTTGTGTCCAGTTTTTCAGACACAACTATGATTGTTTCCTTAGGATAAATTCCTAGAAATGAAAAGACTGGATCAAAGGGTGTGCAATGAAAATTATTAGTGTTTTATAAAATGTTACTGTTGGGAGCTCTGGTGGTGTAGTGCCTAAGACATTTGACTGCTAACCACAAGGCTAGTGATTCAAACCTACCAACCCATTCCTCGGAAGGAAGATTGGGCAATCTACTTCCCTAGAGATACAGCCTTGGAAACCCAAGGAGGGCTCGCTATGAGTCAGCGTTGGAAACCCAAGGAGGGCTTGCTATGAGTTAGAATTGACTTGCCGGCTGTGAGTTTGGTTGTTTATTTTTAATTGTTGTTATTGTTTTATTTTATTCTTCTAGCAGTATTTAAATCTGTTCACTCCCCACAGTCTCAACAATCCTGGGAAATAGTAGCTTTTAAAACTTTTGTTGCTAATTTGATGTTTAAAATAGTATCTCATTTTTAATCTTTAAAAACATGTTCTTTCCTTTAACTACCATCGAAATTGAATGTTCATTGGACAGATAAATTGCTTATTTTATAAAAGCCTAATCTTATACTCTTTCATTTTTTTTTTTACTGGAATGAACCTAAACTCCCTTCTTCAAATAATTTTATAGTTTTGGATAATATTTCAGTTGATGCTCTTAATTTTTCCAAGTACTCAGTCATATCTGTGCAGTTAGAGTATTTTACCTTCTTATTTATTATTTTTATGCCTCTTTTATCACTTGCTTTACTAACTGTGTTGGCTAGCACTTCCAAAATAAATTAAATACTGTGGTATTTAATCGATAAATATTTTATTGATAATAATGAATAGTATTCTATTGATAATAATGGACATTCTTGATTTCTTGTTTTAATAGAATGCTTCTATAAGATCACATTAAAACATAATGCTTTTTGTTTGACATAAAAAAATATATATGGTGTTGAGGAAGTATTTATAATTTACCAAGTCTTTTTAATTAGAAATGGTTATTGTGTTTAAAAAAATATTTATATTTTTAAACTCATTGTTCTGGTTACCTAGTGCCACTCTGACAGGAATTGAATATACCACAGGTGGGATGGCTTTAACAAACAGGAGTTTATTCTCTTACAGTTTGGGAGGCTACAAATCCTAGTTCCAAGTGCCAGGCTCTAGGGGCCATGTGAAAGCCCCTCGACCTTGGGCTTCAGCTCTGCCTCTTGCTCCTGGCCCACTGAAGCTACAGGCATCTCTTCACTCAGGCAGCTACTGGCTGCTGAGGCTAACAAGCCCAAGATCGACAAGTAAAATGGCACAGTCCCGATGTTACCAAACCACATGTTGTTGTTGTTATGTGCTGTCGAGTCGGACTCGACTCACAGCGACCCCTCCTTGGGTTTCTGAGGTAGTATCACTACGGAAGTAGATTGCCCCATCTTCCTTCCGAATAGTGGCTGGTGGGTTTGAAGTGCCAGCCTTCTGGTTTGCAGTCAAATGCCTTAGGCACTATGCTACCAGAACTGCATGTAGCAGGCCATTAATTCAAGTCCATTGTAAGTCCGAAGGTCAGCAGAGAATGGCAGGCTGCTAAACAGTGACACGGCTACATGCAGGGTCCAAGCGTGCCGTATGCTACAGTCCATTCCCAAAGCTGTATCTTATATATGGGAAGCAGACCACATCCCTAAGGCAGCTACTCAGCTGCTCACAGTAAATTGTATCATGGAGTTGATTACCAGTCTCATCATGGGGAATAGTACATCCAGCTGCCCAGCGACTCAACCAGGCCCAGCCAAGTTGACACACAAACATAGCCACCACACTCATATATGTTGTTGTTGTTGTTATGTGCCGTCGAGTCGGCCCCGACTCATAGCGACCCCTCCTTGGGTTTCCGAGGCAGTATCACTACGGAAGTA